TGAGGATTAAGCGAATTAATACAGGTGAAATGGTTAGGACATGCCTGTCCCAGTAAGCACTCAAAAATGCCTGGAATGTAGCAGAGCCTCCCCTCGCAGTGGATAGGGGACAGGGAGGATTGAGGGTACAGCCAGTAGCCTGCACTTTGCACAAACATTGCCTCACCTCCTTCTCCTGACGCCCCCAGGTTACCCTCTCCGAACCATGAGGAGACCAAAGCCTGACAGCCCGAAGCTACATGAGAGCAACGCTGCGTCTCGGCTGGAACCCAGACTCTGCCTCCCTGCTCGCAGGTCTTTCTGCTTCCTTCCCAGAGACACTAGTTTGCTGGCCTCTGGTTGTCCTGTTTTCCACCCCAAGCCAGGACCTGGTCCACCTCCTCCAGCCCAGGTCACCCGCTTACTCTGCAGTCCTGGGAAGCTCAGGCATAGTGGGCACAGAGTCCCAGAACACTCACATTCTGAAAGTATATACGCATCTACAGCTTTAAGTCACTTTTGCAATTGCCCCTATGTGTTAGATGTTGTCTAATTAAAAACGATCACCATAATAATATTAATAATAGTTGCATTTATTACACTGTTCGAGGCTCTACACTACTTTCCCCTTTTCATATAAAAATATGTGTTATCAATGGAGTTATTTTACGTTGCACCAGACTGTGTGTAATCCCAATCAGGCCAAGCGCGGTGGGCTGTGCCTCACAGAAACTGCCCCACCAGAGGCAGCTGACAGGCCATTATTCTGTGTCCTGCAGACTCTGTGCGGTGATAAGGAAACTCCACCAATGTGATGCTTTATCTGGTTGCAGGTTGAGGAAAGATATTATTTCAATCAAGATAATGATTCTATTTCTTGGACGGAAATGAGATTTTTTTTTCATTGCCTTGTAGGGGTGCCACCAACATCTGTCTTGGGGCTTGAATAGGTCATGACCAAGTTAGAGGATTTTCTTGCAACCTGAGAAAGTGCGTTCCACATAAAGGAGAACTGGAAGGAGGGAGCTCGTTTGCAAGAGGAAAATATACACACCAGGCCAGTGAGATTCCAAAGTAAGTTCTACGCAGACATTTATAGACATTAGACAAAGCCTGTGAAACCAAAATTCGAAAGATAAGCACATAAGGTGAGCCCGATAGCCTGGATTTCAAGTGAGGTAAATGGCCTATAAGGGCAATAATGATAAGGAAACTGCACAGACTAGACTCTTAGCTATGATGGGACCTTAGAAGTCTTCTAAACCTGCCTGTCATGTAGGGTAGATTTCCTGTGTAACTGCTGACAGATGACCCAGCCGCTCTTTCAACATCTCCTACGACAGGGGGCGGAGCTCACCAACAAAGGAGCCTGTTCCATCGGGGACCCGCTCCTGTGATGAGAAAGCACCTCCAAATTATAGTCCAGTCACTTCATAAAAGGACACCACAGTGAAAATTCACAAGGTGCTGACACTGCAGTCGATCTAAACCAACTTTGGGAACAGTACTCATTTCCGTAAGTCATTGAACAATATGCAAATGACAGTAGATGATAAATGCAACAATTGGCATTAAAGAGTGAATTCAGTAAAATTTTAAATTATTTTAAATGTTTGGACATTTCAAGGGCTGTCATACAGCATTTCAAACCCTTTATATGTGATTTGCGTTAGTGAGGAAATAATAATTTGTAATTCTTACACAAATTGTTTATGGAGGAATTCTAAGGAGTTTGGAAATGTTTGTAAAGTTTGTGTGCATTTTGAACCTTCCACTGAGAGCTGACCTGGGGAACTGCTCTCTCTCCAAAGAAAAGGCACATTTCAATCCATTTGGAATAGCCCCAGCTGCTAACTCTTGAGGACCAAGAAGGTGGTGTCTTACTGCATCAGGCTCCCCAAACCTTTGAAATCGAAACCACACCATTATTGGTGCGCAGAGACAATCATTGGAAAGTAACCCCAAACCCTGGTAATATTGGTTGTCACCAGGAGAGGAGCCAGGCTGCTTGGGGACAGAGGTGGGAAGGGGCTTTTTATAGTAATACTTTTTGGTACTTTTGAATTTAGAGCCATGGGACTCTATTACTCATTAAGAATAAAATTACAGTTAACAAAAGCATACCGGTGTTTCAGTAGAAACAGACTTTGACACTATTGATTTCTATTTATATATATATATATATATATATATATATATACTCTTAAAATACAAACTCACGAGTAGAAAAGTATTGCACGGTCAGGTGAAAACTACATTTGGCTAGCTTCAAAACAGGGGTGCCCACAGGCACAGTGGTAAGTGTGCCTGATGTCCCACTCAGGTCCCCTTTACCTGCCAGGGCACCCACTCCCCATCTGCTTTCACCGGCAATGTTCTCGAACTCCCGCTCTTGGTCAAGGCCATGGCTCGGAGGTCTCCCCGGCAGCACCACTCTGGGTGCTGATGACTAATGAGGGCATATGTGAGGCCTGCCCCTTGTGGCCAAGCCAGACATGTCTGCAACTCATTTCACTCGGACCGAGCCAAAGAGAAACCTGCCCTGGCACATCCTTGCTCAGCCACTCCTTCCGAATGCTGCTCTTCTCTCTCTCCCCTACAAGTTTTCCCTAAAAGTTCTCCCTTGATACACCCAGTGCACCTGAATCCTTGTCTCGGGCTCTGCATCTAGAGAACCCAACCAAAATCAGTCACCAGTGGCTCCAAATGGAGCCCTCCTGTCTTTCCAGAGGGTTGGAGGTAGAAGCACACATGAGCCTTCCTCTTTGAGGACAGAACCATAACCACCTTCCCACTTGGCCAAAGTCCTCCAGGCTAACACCATACATCCATGAAAGCCAGCACAGCAAAACGCTGTCTATCCAGGGTCAGCCAGGTGGCTCAGTTGGTTAGAGCGTGAGCTCTGAGCAACAGGGTTGCCAGTTCAATTCCCACATGGGCCAGTGAGCTGTGCCCTCTGCAACTATTGGGTAGTCGGAAAAGTCATAATGCATTTTTGCAACGAAAAACATAGAAAAAATACGTCATGACTTTTTCAACAACCCAATAGACTGAAGACAATGACGAGCTGAGCTGCAGCTGAGCTGCCGATGGGCAGCCGGATGGCGCAATTGGCTAGGGCACATGCTCTTAACAAGGTTTCCGGTTCAACGCCCGCATGGGATGGGGGACTGCGCCCCCACAACTGGATTGAAAACGGCGACTGGACTTGGAGCTGGGCTGTGCCCTAGTTTGAAGGACAACAACAACTTGACTTGGAGCTCATGGGTCCTGGGAAAAACACACTGTTCCCCAATAAAGTCAAACAACGCTGGCCATCCAGAACTGAGAGCTCCTGGAGACCAGACCCCTGTGGCAGTGCACAAGCACTCTTCCTCCCCAGGATGAAAGAGCAGGAAGCAGGAGCAGACCCAGGACCTGCCCCTGAGCCATTTACGTGCCTCAGAAAGTCAGCGTGAGTGTCAGCTCTGCCACTTATTAGCTGAGCGAACCTGAACAAAATATTTAACCACCTCTGAGCCTCAGCTTCCTCATCTGCAAAATGGCAACTGCGGAGCCTCTGTTAAGCTCCTGTGAGGCAATGCGGTCAAGCGTGCTGCAAACTGGTAGCGCTGTGGAAATACTGGTTGTTCAGCACGAGATTTAGAACCAGCTAGCTTCCCCTGCTTGCTTGCAGCAAATAACTAATGAACCTTTGTCAAATAAATAAATCCCAGCTGCCCCTCATCCTGGGCATGGGACCTAGAGCTCCCTGTGGGAGAGGCAGTTCCAGAGACAAGCAAGAGCATGTTGGGAGCACAGTCCTGGTGACTGTTTACCTGGAGCTCAGGGTGTGTCCCCATCATTGAGCTCATGGGTCTCTGGTGGCCCTCAGCTGGAGCTGTCTGGTGAAGGCTGTGTGTGTGTGTGTGTGTGTGTGTGTGTGTGTGTGTGTGAGAGAGAGAGAGAGAGAGAGAGAGAGAGAGAGAGAGAGGGAGGATCTTCAATACGAATTTTCTGCAATCTATTCAGTGTATATATTAATATCAAATACAACCTTAATTTGCTGAAAACTCATGAGGTCATTTTCACGCCATGAGTCACAAAGTGGCCAAAACTTAATTTGATTTACATAGATGAGGGATACTTCTTTATTCCAACCTGATTGTTTGCACATGGACCATTCACGAAGCCATTTCAAGCCCTTCACCCCAGGCCCGGCCCAACCTCACCAGAGGTTCCTCCCCACCTGTCATACCCATGTCTGTGACACCCTCCACGCAGGCCGCTGGGTGTTCCCATCCGGGCACTTCTGTCCTGTTCCTTCCTCCTGCATCAGCCCAGGACAAGTCTCTCTTTCCCCAGGAAGTCTTCCTTCCCCACTGCTTCCTGAACCAGCGTTTCTGCCTGTGCTGTGAGAGCCAGAGCAGGACCACCCACCCATTCATAAAGTTCCTTAATGGTCTCACGTGCAGATGTCTTCTGTCCCCACACTGACCTGAACGCTCCTCCATACCAGCCTCGGCCTGCTGCTTCCCTTGTATTTCTCGGAGCCGCCAGGTAGTGTCAGATGCTGAGTATTAATACGACTCTCAGGTGAGGGCATGGATTTTAGGTCATAGGATTGCTCTCAGTTTAACACACTGGTAAATGGACCAGATGAGAATTTACTGTTCTAGATAGGGCCAACTTAGCAGCAAACTTAGACTTGTACAGGCTACAGAGTGAGAAAAATGCCCAGCTCCCTTATCCCCAAAGGAGTCCAGCTCTCTGGCACACCAATCAACCACAAGGGAGGAATCCGTTTCGTGAGCCAGCGGGCGCACTCTCCACTCAGAGGACAGAGCTGGGGTTCAAACCATGAGCCTTCAACGCTAAGCCTCGCAGCCCTGGGTCCAGCCCCACCCAGCCAGAGGCACCTTCTAGAAGAACCGAAAGCCGATTCCATCAGGGTCATACCTCCTTCCCCAAACAGGGAAACCTGCCCGCTCCCCAGGAACAGTGTCAAACCACAGACCTAAAAAAGCAAAACGCATACTCACAAGCAACGACGCCTTCGTCTTAAATTTCAGGCGAACAGTTTCTCGGCAAACCTGCTCATTTCCTGCAAAGAGAAGAAAGGGATGGAGAAGCATATTAGCATCTGCTCTGGGCATCCTTCGGCAGTTTCCTGGCTGACCTCGGGGCGTCTGCACCTTCTCTGCATTCTCACTCCCAGCAGCACTCTCCCCTCCCAGGAACACTGTGTACTAGTTGGGTGGGCGCCCCTGGCTCCCCGCAGGATCCCACCCCTCCTAGGCGTGGGCTCGGTCCATGCCGCCTCCCTCCCCCTTCCCACAGCAGTGCCAGTCTCAGATTGACCACTGCCTCCAATTCCCTGAAGGCGCTGGGCTTCTTCCCACTCTGGAGTGAGGCCTCCTCTTCTGTAGCATGGGGTTGCCTAGCAACCCTGCGCGCCAGCTCTGGAAGGCCCTCCTAAATTGGACCTCACAGCACAGGGCATCTCCTTGTACAGCTGCCTGAATCTTAACAATCTGGTTCTGAATAATAACACAATGGTAATTGCATGCATGGGCCCCAAACTACATTTAAATAATGTTCAAGAGCTGACACCCACCAACAAAGGCCAGAGAATGCATTGCGGAGGTTGACTGTAGGGCCAGGCAGGGCGTTCGGTGCGGGAGGGAGTTGACACCAAAGACTTGAGTTAATGACAATGCCAACCTGAACTGTGAATCTTCCTGCCTTTCTGCCTGAGTGTGTCACCACTTTAATGTGTTTTAAGTGAGTTTGGGATCTGTAGAGGCAATTAATGCCCAGAGGTAGTGATGCTTCAGGACAGGATGTCCTTTAGTTCTTCTTTTTTTTGGAGGGGGAGGAGGGGAGGGGAAGGACACAGGACAAGGCGGGAGAACAGCACGGGAGTGAATTCTCTTGCAGTTACCAAGCATGGCTAAATATGGTTTAGAAGGTGGGAGAAGGAGCTCACCAAGCAAGAGCACAAGGCACTTGCTACCTTAGCGAGGGACCAACCCAACATGAATGATGTGTTTCAGGATAAGAAGTGAAGGGAAAGAGGCCTTGACACTGGCTAGCACGCAGACTGAAGCAGCTTAGCATGGTGTGGGGAAAGGCCCCGTGCACCAGAGTCCAGCCTTCAATCTGTGTCCCTGGCAGAGGGTAATGAAGAGCTCTGCTCGAGGCATAAGAGCCTTAACACGTGGGAAACGGCCAGCTGGCAATCTGCTTCGTGTGGAGTGATAGCAGTGAGGGCCAGCCGATCAGACCTGATAATTTGAAAGCCCGAAGCATTTCTTTCTTTTTTTTTAAAGGCTCAAAATCCTCCTGCAAGGGACTTACACACCCATGTTCATAGCAGCATTATTCACAATAAGCAAGAGATGGGAGCAGCCCAAATGTCCACTGAGGGATGAATGGATCAACTAAATGTGGTATATGCATATAAGAAAGCCGTATTCAGCCTTAAAAAGGAAAGAAATTCTGACACAGGCTACAACATGGATGAATCTTGAAGGCATTATGCTAAGTGAAATAAGCCAATCATTCACAAGAAGACAAACAGTGTATGATCCCACCTATATAAGGTTCCTAAGTAGCCAAATAAGAAACAGCAAGTAGAAGAGAGGTTAGCAGGGGCTGGTGAGAGTGGGGACTAGGGGGTTAGTGTTTAATGGGTACAGAGTTTCAGTCTGGAAAGATGAAAAAGTTCTAGAAATGGATGGTGGTGACGACAGGGTAACCATGTGAATGCGCGTCATGCCACTAAACTGTACACTCACAAATAGTTAACACGATACATTTTATGTTATGTATATTTTACCACAATTCTTTTAAAAAGGTCCCTGTGGTAATAGCATAGCACATACAGCATTTCTCCATAAGACTTTTGTCCATTTTCATCTTGGAAGTCAAAGTGGCCTGGGCCATTCACAGACTCAGATGGGGAGACTGTCACCAGGACTCAAGGACAAACGGGTCAATGTGAGTCTGGGCCAGGGAAGCCTGTGGCTTGTAAGCGTGGAGTCTGTGCATTGTCGTCAGAAGGCGGTGTCTGAGGACTGTGACACAGGAGTCTCTGCTGCCCACCTCCCCTGTCGCGCTCTGGAATGTGGCCTCCATCCCCTCAAACAGTCCCTCTCACCATGTCCCCTGCCTGCCTCCTCCCTTGGGCACGAGGGCTCCAACGACACCCTCATCTTTACCCTCTGCTCCCCCTGCACTCCCTGCCTAGGAAGCCCCTTCCTGACCCAATCCTACTCTTTCTAGTGGACCTCCATCAAGCCCCACCTCCTCCACCAAGCCCTCCAGAAACGCCCCACATCTGCTGTCTCTGAATGGTGTAGCCCGCAACCAAGCACTTGTTTAGGTACTGTCCTATGTGCATGTCTGAAAGTGTCACCTCTCCCAGGAAATCCCTGGCAGGACCCCTGGACAGGAACTGTCACTGTATTTGTTAACTGTCACAGGCCTTGGCTCAGAGCTGAGTACATGGTGGATTGCTCCTCAAGGCTCTGGGAGGGCTGAGGGGTCCCGCCTTCTTTCTCATGGACTCTGGCCACCGCTCCCCTGCCCCGGGGACACAGCACATCTGCTTGCTGCGTATCCCTGCAGCTAAATATTCTAGGCGGGCGTGCATTTCCCTCCAGTCATTTAGAGGTGTAACTCAATGTGTGCAATAAACAATTGAGCATTCACAGATTTTATTAATTTGGAAAGGTCATTAGAGCTAACAGCTTCTCCGAGTGAGAGTGAAAAAATAGCACGAATGTTTTTTTTCAGTGTCCTGATTTTTTTTTCTTGGAATGTGCTTTAAACCTTAAAAAATAGTGTTACAAGTGAAAAATAAAAATAAAAAGGCAGAAGGTAGGGTGAGGGGGGACGGGGGTGCGGTTATCCAGGCTTGTAAGGCAGGAAGAGCCTGTTGTAAGCTCTGGGTAAGCCTGTTCCCCTCACTAAGCCTTAGTCTTCTCTGCAAAAGGAGGGAGTGGTTGCTAAGGTCCCTTCCAACTCAAGCAAAAATAAAATTATGATTTGGGGTGAAAATGTGAACATAGCGACTTTCCAAGCTCACAGTTACGCTCCCCACCCCCCACCCATCCTACCAGGTGTTGGGCCCATGTTCATTTTTGGGGGGGAGGTTAAGGTAAGAGTTCTTGCCCCCTCAGCCAAGAAAAGAGGCTTAAGTATAATATTTCAGGTGCCTCCCCAGACCCTGACATGGGGGCTCTCCAACCCGACAATCTGGCTGCTTTGCTCTCATTAGATCATTAAGGAACACTCCAGATTAATAACTTGTTTTCTTGAATCCCAGGAATGGCTGGAAATGAGCCAAAGGGAATCATCTAGGCTCTGTCTCCCCAGCCCTTGGCTCTGTGACCAGCCAGTGCTGTCTGTCAAGAGCTAGACCTCTGTGGGCAGATGCCCATGGTCCTCCCACGGAGAGAAGCGAGCAGCCTTTAAGGAGAGGAGGGCTTGGGCTCCAGCCTGCTGCCGTGGGGAGAGAGAGCTGGCCCTTAACCAGACTCTGCAATTCGAGATTCCCTCCCTTTCTCTAACCTCATCCCCTCTTCTCTCTGCCCCGAGAGTGGAGGAGATGCTGGGCAGTGGGAGGCCCACATCTGTCTGCAAATGTGTGCCCAGGAATGCCCACGCCCCCACCTCTGGGTCACTCCTGGTTTTCAATAGCAATAAGATGTCTAGGTGTGAATCAAAACTGTATGGCTAGCAATGTAATAGTAATGTTAACATTCACATTACTGTTAGTTAATAGTAACTAATATTTGTGTGATGCTTTATGATTTAAAAAGTACAGATATTCCTGGACCTAACGACAGGGTTCCATCCGTCCCGATAAGCCTATTGTGAGTTGAAAATATTGTTAAGTGAAAAATGCATTTAATACCACACTGCAGAGGATGGGCTGTTGACCCCCTGATCACATGCCTGACTGGGAGCTGCAGCTCACTGCCACCGCCCAGTGTCACGAGGCATATAAGACCGCAAATTGCTAGCCCGGGAAATGATCAAATTCAAAATTTGAACTACGGTTTCTCCTGAATGCATACCGCTCTCACTCCATTGTAAAGTTGAAAAATCCTAAATCACACCATCCTCAGTCAGGGACCATCTGTATTTTCCCACATACTTGTCAGGCGGGGAGGACAGACTCCACCCATTGACTGAGCCCTGCTGTATCCCAGGGTCTCTGCTCCTTTCTGGGGATGCAGACGTGAAAAGGTGTGGTCCCTGCCTACAAATTCCCTCTAGGAAGGTGGATAGTCAAGAAGACGGAGGCACAGAGAAGCTGAGGGACTTTCTCAGTGTCACCTAGCTGGCAAGTACTGGTAGTGCTCAAACCAAGTCATGGTGTTGGCCCCTCACGGTTTTTTGATAAAGACCCTCCTCTCCTCAGCAGCTTTGTAAAGAGGCTGCCTTGAGATCTGATCCAAATTCATAAAATCTTTTTTTTTAATCTGCCTAACCTTTGTCATTTAGGAATTGCCACAGCACTTACAATCAGCATGTGACAATGACACTGGCATTGTTCTCAGTTGGCTTTTTGAAAAATAAAATATCTGTGCTTAGAGGAGCCCTCTAGATCCCTAACATTACAGCCAGGGCTCCCAAGCCCAGACAGGGCAAATGAGTCGCCCAAAGTCATGGCCAAGACAAGATGAGAGCCAAAGCCTGGGTCCAAAGACTCCCAACCCGGGGTCTACACGCATCCACCTTACATTGGTGGGTGGGCAGTTTCAGGCTGTGTCCTGTTTATTCTGCGCCCCCACAGCAAGCATGCGTGGCTGGGATGGGGTTCTTTGATGCCCACCCAGTCCCCCCAATGATACTGAAGTGACTGGCTCTGCCCCTGGTGAGCCTCACAGGGAGAAGCAGAGGCCATGAGAGGTTCCCTCAAGGGACAGTGATGTATGGTCTCTGCTGCAGGGCCTCACAGCTCCCCGGAAGCCACAGTGTCTCATGGTTTAGAGCCAGACTGGCGCTGCCACTGATAAGCTGTGTGTCCTTAGGCAAGTGACTTAACCTCTCTCTGCTTCAAATCCTCACCACCAAAATGGGCAGAATAAC